ACCCCCCCAAAATTCCCCCCCCCCCCCCCCCTCCACGGTTACCACGGCAACGCCGATGCTTCCATGGGAGTTGCCACGGCAACGGCTCCGGCTCCTTTTTCCGGACCCTTCCGTGCCCTGAATAATTCATGGATCCCCCTTTGGAATGGGAAAAAAAAATGGGAAAAGTGGGGGAGGGGTTCTCTTCTTTTTTAGGGAATTTTTTTTTGGGGTGTGGAATAAAAAAAAAAATATTGGGAATTTTTTTGATGGAAAAATGTTGGTTTTTTTTTGGATGAAAAACGTGGTTTTTTATAGGGGAGAAATGAGGGTTTTAAAGGGAAAAAAAAAAAAAATCGGGATTTTCCATGGAAAAATGGAGGGGTTTAAATTGAAATCAATTGGGTTTTTTTTTAATAATTAACGTTTTTATAAAATCAGGATTTTCGGTGTGAAAAACCTGGATTTTTCCCCCAAAAAATCGGGATTTTTTTTCAACTTTCAAAAAGCTGAATTTTACCCCCCCTCCCCCCCAAAAATTGGATTTTTCCAAAAAAAATCTGGATTTCTACCTAAAAAATTGGGGTTTTTTTCACCAAAACCTGGATTTTTCCCAAAAAAATAAGGACTTTTCCCAAAAAATAAGGATTTTTCCCAAAAAACCAGGATTTTTTCCCCCAAAATTCAGGATTTTCCCCCCCAAAAAATGGGATTTTCCCTCCCAAAAAATTGGAATTTTCCTCCTCAAATTCCCATTTTTGGCTCATCCCAGATTTTCCCAAAAAATTAAATTTTTTTTCCCTAAAAATTGAATTTTCCTCCCCCCCAAAAAAACTGGAATTCACCGCCCCGAATCCCTGGAATTTTGGGGCAATTTTGGGGTTTTTTGGGGCCATTTTGGGGTTTTTTTGGGGAAATTTTGGGGATTTTTGGGGCCATTTTGGGATTTTTTTGGGGCAATTTTGGGGATTTTTGGGACCATTTTGGGGTTTTATTTGGGGCCATTTTGGGGGAGTTTTGGGGATTTTTGGGACCATTTTGGGACCTTTTTTTTGGGCCCTTTTGAGGTTTTTTGGGGGGCATTTTTAGGATTTTTTTTGTGCCGTTTTGGGTTTTTTTTTGGTGGCCGTTTTGGGATTTTTGGGGGGATTTTTTTGAGGCAAATTTGGGATTTTTTGGGGGTTTTTTGGGGGTCATTTTGGGATTTTTTGGGGGCCATTTTGGGGCTTTTTGGAGGATTTTTTTGGGGCCATTTTGGGATTTTTTGGGGCATTTTTTGGGGGCTATTTTGGCGCCGTTTTTGAGGCGAATTTGGGGTTTTTTGGGCTGAAACTGGGAATTCCTGGGAAGTTTTACTGGTTAAACTGGGATTTTGTCCCCTCAGTGTGACCCTGGCCAGGCCTGGCGCCATTTTGGATTTCACGGCGCCATTTTGGTTTCTGTGGCGCCATTTTGGTTTCTTTGGTGCCATTTTGGCGCCGTTTTTGAGGCGAATTTGGGGTTTTTTGGGCTGAAACTGGGAATTCCTGGGAAGTTTTACTGGTTAAACTGGGATTTTGTCCCCTCAGTGTGACCCTGGCCAGGCCACCAATACCTCCAGTCACACCTGGCTCCATTTTGGTTTCTGTGGCACCATTTTGGTTTCTGTGGCGCCATTTTGGCGCCGTTTTTGAGGCGAATTTGGGGTTTTTTGGGCTGAAACTGGGAATTCCTGGGAAGTTTTACTGGTTAAACTGGGATTTTGTCCCCTCAGTGTGACCTCAACCAGGCCTGGCGCCATTTTGGATTTCACGGCGCCATTTTGGTTTCTGTGGCGCCATTTTGGTTTCTGTGGCGCCATTTTGGTGCCGTTTTTGAGGCGAATTTGGGGTTTTTTGGGCTGAAACTGGGAATTCCTGGGAAGTTTTACTGGTTAAACTGGGATTTTGTCCCCTCAGTGTGACCCTGGCCAGGCCTGGCGCCATTTTGGATTTCACGGCGCCATTTTGGATTTCACGGCGCCATTTTGGTTTCTGTGGCGCCATTTTGGCGCCGTTTTTGAGGCGAATTTGGGGTTTTTTGGGCTGAAACTGGGAATTCCTGGGAAGTTTTACTGGTTAAACTGGGATTTTGTCCCCTCAGTGTGACCCTGGCCAGGCCACCAAGTATCTCTACGAGCTCCTCTACAATGACCCCATCAAGATCATCCTCATGCCCGGCTGCAGCAGCGTCTCCACCCTGGTGGCCGAGGCGGCGCGGATGTGGAACCTCATCGTGGTGAGGAACCAGGAAATTCCCGGGAATTTTTTGAGGGATTTAATTCGGGAATTTTTTGGGATTTTTTTAGGATTTTTTAAAAAATTTTGGGGGGATTTTTTTTTTTTTTTTTTTTTTGGGGGATTTTTTTGGGGTTTTTTTT